TGTTACGGGGACACGAGCGGCGGTGATGCACTCAGGGCCTACGGCCGGAAGCGCACACGCCATCACCTTGAGCACACGTGACGATCGCGCGCACGTGTAGTGCAAATGCTCTAGAAACGTCTCCGGGGCCGCAGCGTGGGAACCTATGAATCAGCGGGCAGGCCAGAACCCCCGTCACACGCTATAGGCCAGAATTAATCCAGAAGGAGTAGGACCCTATACATACGCTGTAGTGGGTGGACGAGCTAAAGGACCGGTTGTCTCTGTGTTGTTCTGAATAAAGCCCTAACCACCAGAACCGGCTTTATTCTGCCTACTAGTTCGGGATATAACAGTAAGCATTAAAAAAAGAAGATAAAAGTATGCGAGTCAACGTACCAACAAATGAGAAAATAAGTACTTTTTGGACTTCTTCCGGCTTGGGGGGCTTCAAATCTCTGTGAAAAAAAAACGAAAAGACGCGTAATGGATAAAAGTGGGGAGGAACAATGAAAACAACTCAGTGCGCCTAGTATTCATCTGGTGGATTCTAGATTGATTTCTGAAGAAGTCCTGCCGGAGCAGACCAGCTTACTGTCTCCGAATTGGTGGTTTCTATTTATGTTGGCTCCCGGTTCTCGCGATGGGGCATAGAAATATCCCTGTGATGTTTTTTTTTGAAACATTTTTTCCCAGGAAGAAATTTGTAACAAGCAATTAGGGCAGAATTTATTTGATCAAATAAATTTCGGGACTGCTCATCAGCTGCAGCCTGTCTTTACATGGGATTAATAACAAGTAGACGCTGAATCCTTATTTACAAACGTACCATTGGACGAGACAATCGACGTCATATGTACTCATGCATCCGATACCCGTCTACCACCTGATATACTAAGGGAATTGCTTACACTATGTACGAAAAATGTGCAACTCCTCTTTAATGGGCATCGGTATAGACAAATCGATGGAGTCGCAATGGGAAGTCCACTTGGACCTACTTTTGCTGACATATTCATGGATCAGTTAGAAGAAAACGTGTCATCAAAACTGAACAAGACAGCTTCATACAGACGTTACGTCGATGATATCTTTACTATAGTTGAAACCAAACAAGAAGCTGAAAACCTTCTTCGATCCATGAATAAATTGCACCCAAAGATAAAGTTCACGATGGAAATGGAGCAAAACAACGAGTTGCCTTTTCTTGACGTCCTCCTGTTTAGAGAGGATGATGGTTCAATAAG